ATGTACTTTTATTGCTTCTTGAGGGTCCTTGCTGTATGGACCGTCCTGCTTCAGAAGTTGCTGCTTTATTTGTCTAATTGACTCATTTGTAATTGAGCAGAACTGTTTTGTTGTTCTTTTTTTTCCTAAATATAAAAGTCCACACTTGGTTTGTGCTATAACCTCGAACTTTGATTTCCAGTGTCACACTTAAAACTGTGTGGAATAAGACTTTTGCCGTAAAAATAAACTATGGAGTCCTTTACCTACCAGAGCCTTTTTGGTTTGACTGCCATGTTTTAGGATAGTCAGTTTAAAAATTGTTCATGTTGTTTGGATGGTATCAAAACCCAGAAACCACTTTTAATAATGTGTTTAAGATACTTGATTTGAAGTCCTATTCATGATGGACTAATTGTACTATCAATTTTCTCCTGTCCCAATTTATGTGAAATTTTGGCCTTTAAGTAAAAGAAGGGCCCATTCATAGGAAAGTATTATATCTAGGTTTTTAAAACTGAATTTGAAATTACCTTTGTTAGCAATAGTATTATAGAATAAAAGATCCATATGCTGGTTCATAGATTGATATGTGTTTAGTCCTGTTATTTTGGAGGCTTTTTGTTATAGTTGTTCGATCAGGGGCCTGTTTACTAAAATCCTTCATACAGAGTACAAGTGCAGCTGCCAGAGGGGAGAAAATTGACATTCTTGACCCTTTCATACTCTCTTTGGTGTACAGGACACTAAGGCAGGAGGACCACATGAGTTCTGGTTGGTTAAGTGTCCTTCTCATGGAAACACTTGCTTTATAAGGCTCTAATTATGCTTACTTTCCCTAGTCAGTGCTCTAAAGATGTGTCACATTTTATTATAAACAATACAGAAGGGGAGATACTTAAGATGGTATGAAAAACACATTTTCTCACTGTCATTAAAGGCTCTAATTATGGTTAGTTTCCCTAGTGAAAATGCTCTGAAGATATGGCACATTATATTATAAACAATACAGGAGAGATAGGTGAGAGATATCATGAAAGACAGTTTATCTTTAATGGCCCCTTTGCCTTGATTTGAAATATCCCCAACATTTCCTACAAATCAGTGTACTTACAAAGGGGTTAATCTTTTAAAATAAGTATTTCCTATTAAAATATATACATCTATATACAGTGCCTTTTTGGTGTTGGGAGTCAGTGGAACACTGAAATACAGCGGTCGTGTAATTTATAGTTAAGAGTGGCAACAGTTTTTTTGATAAGATTTGGAAAGGCTTTTTATCACTACAATCTTAGAGGATTGACAGTACAGGATTTTTGTTTAAGGGAAAGATTGTTTAGACTCCAGAAGAGGTGACTGCGTTGTGGGTCTTTGGATAATTCATGAATACAAATTTGCTTTGACAGATCACTAGATACTGCCTCCTCAGCTTAAAAAGCAATATAACGTTTGTATATGCTGTTTTAAGTTTCTGTTAAGTAATAATTTATCATTCCAAAGACAATGCAAAAAACTTCAGCACTGCTTGAGAGTTATATTTCAACCACAGATACTTTCCCCGTTGGAAAGCTATTTTCATTTTAGAAAAATGGGTTGTTTGACGATGAAAGTCTTTTATCTTTTTTCACAATTTATTTTGGTTATATGTTCGTACATTCTTATTAAATATTTCATACACTATTGCAACTACTTTGTTATTTAACTACATCTTAGATAAATGCTGAAAAGGGAAACTTGATTTCATTGTTCATCTAATAAGAGCAGTTTGTGTAGAAATTGGAGAGAACTATGTTTTATGTGAATCACAACAGTGCTCGTTGTGGAATGTATTAAATGCTTTGCCCTCTGGAACTTGATTTTTGTGTATCTGAGACTTATTAACAGTGCTAACTGCTAAGGATACTGTTTACCTTGTTCTGGGCATTAGAGTTTCAGTTTTTAAAAAATTCTTGAAAATGTATTCTGTGAAACTATTCATACCTCTCTTCCTGCGAATTTTCTCCTAAGAACTAGGTTTGGGGTAGGAATGAATTTACAGTATTTTCTCATTTGCTTTGTATGGTATGAAGGATTTGTAAAGTTTTGCTCAAAGTTGTGTGCATTTGTAAACCTATCATGATATTTTCAATTTTATGTGTAAATTTTATTGTCTGTTTTTGGTGATTCCGACATTAATGGAAGAGAATATTTTCCATTAGGTTTAATTTTTTTCCCCTCTCCCTTCTGATTTTTTTTTAAATTGGTGTTCATTTTTCTTTTGATTTAAAGGATTAGAGAAATTTACAAATGTATGTCACAAATAAGCAAATTTGTAAACTTTTCTGAACTTTAGTGAAACATTTAGTTCACAAGCATAATTTGGAGTTGTGTTCTGGGTTTACACTGTAGTTTGGATATACAATTATTATTAGTGGCTTTTTAAAAAATGAAACAGTGTTAAGTGAAATGTAGTTCCTAGCTTTGTACTCCAAGTTGTCAAAGCATCAACAATGAAAATTCCATTAGGAAACTTTTTATTTAAAATTTAAGTTAGTAATTAATATTCAATGTAGTTAAGGGCAGTCTTAACCCATTGGATGAAAATCTAGGACTATATGGAAGTAAGCAAACATACACATTTTTAGGTGGAAAGAGTCAATCATGCATAAAAATGAGGATACATGAAAGCCTTAAACTCCAGCTCCCTTTTACTGGAGTCTGTGATTGTGTACAGGTATGGGTCAAGTGTGTAAAAATAAAATCTCATCAATTTTAAGAACACTCGGGAAATGAGTAAAGAAATGTAAAATTGCTGCTAGTCAAATTTTTTGGAAAGAATTTCTAGAAGTAGTCACTTTAAAAATTATTTTCCACCCTTGCAAAATTGCCACATTTAAATTGTTTTACTGGCATTTCTATAGTAGTCCAGACTTTAGAAACTAAACACAATAAAATGGCTTGTTGCCGATATGGCCACAACATTGCCAGCAAATACTGCCTTAGCATCATTCAGCAGAGGTTTTTGTTTATAAAGATGAAGTCTTGAATACTGTTCAATAAACTTGTCAAAAAATAAAACAGGCTGATGCTTTTAATGCTTTAACTGCACAAAAGTACGTTATTGAGCTATAATATCTTGTCAGGATTTTTTTTTTTAACTCTTGAAAATATTTTATGCCTTTGGAAAGGTAGATTTGGTCTTCTTGGAGAAGTAAAAATTGTTGCTTATCCTTGCCTGCTAATGCTGAAGTGTCAAGAGAAGAGAGGATACTTGGAACTGCAGGGAGGAAAGTTGATTCTAGTTCAAGTCCATATTATCTACCTTTTCAGAATTTTTTTGTGTGTGATGTGTTGGCAAACAAAGCCCTTAAAAAACGTTGAAAACTTTTTATCTTGAGAGAGTGTAGCTTGTATTAGAATTTGGATACCCAGCATGTTTTAGACATACATAATTCCAGGTAGTAGCTGAGTCTTTATTAAGTAATCAAGGTTTGACTAAGCAGTGGACAAATCACTGAGTGAAATCAGCTGCCTACAGATACCCAGAGTGGCCTTTACTTTCTGAAAGGGCTGGACTGTGTGATAATATGTCGTCTTTTCTTGTTCAGGAGAGATCAGTGAGGTAATTCATTGTTACCTGCTTTCCAGTGTTTTACAGCAAGAAATAGTTTATCAGTTACGTGCATCCTCACTAATCTCCCAGACGTAGAGCTTTTATGGGATACAGTATACTCTAAACTTATGGCTTTCCTTTTTTAAGGAAATAAAAATAGCTTTACTTCAGTTTCTTTTTTTTTTTTTTGAGATGGAGTTTCGCTCTTGTTACCCAGACTGGAGTGCAATGGCACGATCTCGGCTCACCACAACCTCCGCCTCCTGGGTTCAAGCAATTCTCCTGCCTCAGCCTCCCTAGTAGCTGGGATTACAGGCGTGCACCACCGTGCCCAGCTAATTTTTGTATTTTTAGTAGAGGCGGGTTTTCACCTTGTTGACCAGGATGGTATCGATCTCTTGACTTCGTGATCCACCCGCTTCGGCCTCCCAAAGTGCTGGGATTATAGGCGTTTGCCACCGCGCCCCAGCCCAGTTTCATCTTTTTAATATAAAATCTGATAGATCACATTGACTTGTAAAATGTTCTGGAAAGAGTGTACTCTGGTAGTAGCACAATTCTTTGGTGTTATAGTGACTTTTTAAACAACATAAGCAAATTCATCTCCTATTGGTACCTGCTCAGGTAAATGGTAATTCCTTCCCCTCCCTTTTTTTTTAAATTATTTTTTTCAAATGGGGTTTCACCATGTTGGTCAGGCTGGTCTTGAACTCCAAACCTCAGGTTATCCGCCCGCCTTGGCCTCCAAAGTGCTTGGATTACAGGTGTGAGCCACCACGCCTGGCCTTCTTGTTTTTGTTTTTGATATGGAGTCTTGGTGTGTCGCCAGGTTGAAGTGCGGTGGTGTGATCTTGGAAGTTCATTGCAACCTCCACCTCCCCCATTTGAGCGATTCTCTTGCCTCAGCCTCCCAAGCAGCTGAGGCTACAGGCACGTGCCACCATGCTGAGTTTAATTTTTCTTGTATTTTTAGTAGAGACAGTTTACCATGTTGGCCAGGATGGTCTCAATCTCCTGAGCTCGTGATCAGCGTACCTCTGACTCCCAAAGTGCTGGAATTACAGGCATGAGCCACCACACCTGGGCGATAAATGATAATTCTTTACCATGCTGTTCTTGTGTTTACTCTTGGTGCTTTGGTCTGCCTTGTGTTAGAGTCTCAAAAGCATCCTAGAGTATGACTTCTTTTCTGGATCAACATAACTAGCGGGGAGCAACTGTGGTGGCATGCTATTCTACATATTACTGTGCCACTGGAGTCCAGAAGGAGTAAAAAGCCACCGGATACAAACATTTCATCCCCAGGGACAGAAGGGCAGCACTCAAAGTCTAGGGGTAGGAAATAGTGCTGGGAAAAATCACATCAACCAAATCCTTTGAATTCTGTCAATAGCACCATGGACCTCCTTCCAGTGAAAATGTTTAAGGTGTGCTTGCCTTAGCAGCACATACTAAAAACTGGAATGATACAGAGAAGATTAGTATGGCCCCTGCGCAAGATGACATGCAGTTTGTGAAGCATTCTGTTTTTGTTTTTTTAATTATTATTAAAGGTCTCCATGCCGAGGCACAGAAACTCAGCAGATGTCATAGAGAAGTGATAAATGGCACAGCTGAGCACTGGAATTGGTACCCCAATTGTTCCAGACCTCAGGATTTTGACCTTAGTAACTTAATAGTTTCAAGTCATTTTGCTTAATTGATGGCTTGCTGTTTCATGATAGGAGGAGGAGAAGACTATTTGGTTAGGGAGCAATGATCAGCAAGAGAACGTAATTCAGTAAAGGTGCTGAGTCAATTTATCTCTTCTTAGGAATGAACTGTACTGTATTCAGATGGGCTACTTGATGGTTCATTCCCTCCATTCTGCTGCTGCTCATTTTCTCCCTCTTGCTTATATAGTAAATCTGCTTGTAACCTGGACTTAAAACTCTTAGACTGAAGCCCCTTCACTGCTGTCTAGTCCCAGCCTCCTAATGGGTGGGAATACTTCATTCATAGCTTTTGGTTAGTGAATAAGACTAATCAAAAGCTGGGTGTGGTGGTTCACACCAGCACTGGTGGGAGGATCACTTGAGCCCAGGAATTGAGATGAGCCTAAGTAACGTCGTGAGACCCTGTCTCAAAAAAAAAAAAAGCCTTGTCTCTTCAAGTTTGTGCTTCATATCAAATAATAACAACCACATTGCGCTACCACAGGTCACACAGGGGGGATGATTTAAGGTTACTTGCTCTGCTGCCCAGGCTGGAGTACAGTGGTACAGTCAGCTCACTGCAACCTCGACTTCTGGGCTCAAGCACTCCTGCCTCAGCCTTTTAAGTAGTTTATTTTTTGTAAAGATGGGTTGGTCGTTGGGGGTGGTGGAGGGGTGGTTTCACTGTGTGGCTCAGGCTGGTCTTCAACTCTGGGGCTCAAGCGATGTGCCTGCCTTGGCCTCTCAAAGTGCTGGGATTACAGGTTGTGAGCCACTGTGCCTGGCCTTGGCTTCTTAAAAGGTTTTAAATCACACCAAATGGTACTGGTGCTGCTGCTGCTGATTGCCTTGATTTTTCTTTGATCCCACTTGGAAGTTTGTTAATGCCACACTCCACTATACCACACATTAGATTGCAGTGGGGGTTGGAGAGTGGCACAGTCTTTATACATACCTCCATTCTGTGGTTTGGCCTCTGAGACCAGTAGGGTCCCTGTGCTGTAACTCTGTCAGAAGTGATGGACATATTAATGCAACTACTGATTACTGATGGTAGATATGCTGCTTTACTTCTATGACCATTGAATTGACAGATTGGAATTGGAAACACCTGTCACTTTGAAGCTTTTAAGAGAACTTCACATGGATATAGCTTAGCCATAGCTGTATCTCATACTAACAGATTTTTGTAGTGTTGTGCACCCAGCACATACAGTTTGGTGGAAAAGCAAAATAAGGTTCCTGTTCTTCGAGAGTTTAGGGTTTTAAGTTACACAACTAAGTGCTCGGTTGTGCTTGTACTAGGTACGTTCCTGCACCACGGGAACCAGGTAGAGGCTTTCTTGGCCATTTGCTAAGTCATGGTTAGACAGGAACAAGTATAAACTAGTCCGTGGTTGCAGTGTAGTTTCCTTTTGTTGAAATTCCTTTGCTTTCTCAGCTTCCCTAACATGTAAATTCTGAAGACTCATCTTGAACTCTCCCCAGTGTCCCAAATGAATTTATTCCAGTGAGGTGTAAGGGGCTTGCATTATTAACAATAGGTAGGTTTCTTTTCCAAGAGTTCTGGTCTGCTTTTTTGCTGTAGGTGATACACACACCTTTTGTGCACACTGTAGATGCACAGGTGTTTGGTGATGCCTCAGTCATGGAGATGATCAGGAAGGTGGTATAGCACCGTTGTCTCAGACACCCCTAGGTGATAGGCATTAAAGAATGTAGATTTCTGCCAGGAGGGATGGGGGCAGAATTGACTACCTTGTAGATGTCCTTTGAAAATTTTGATACAGATCACATTTTTAAGAAGTGAATTCTACCTTATTCGCACTTATGTATGCTTGCTACTTAAAATTCATTCCTTTGATCAAGTCCTGTAAATGTGGAGCCCGGCATTTCCTCCCTTCCTGCCCCAGCAATCAGACAAATAGGGAGAATTATTTTGCATCTTTGTGCAAGGCAAGTTAGCATAGATCATGAGGAGAGACCATATGAGTCTCAGTGCTCTTGTAAAGGTGGGTAGATTTCAGATTGGGGTGAATTACAAAATGTGAACCGTTGCTAAAATGGGTGGATATAGAAATAGTATTCTCAGAATCAGGTCATGGTTCTGTCAGTTATGTGACTGAGGACAGGTTGTTTCCCTCTGGCCTCAATGTTTCTTTTACAATATGGGATTAAATTAGATAATCTTGTGTCCAGTTTGATGCTTCTGTGATTATATAAACCTAGACTTTGGATTCCTGGAAATCTGTCCTGAGTTTGAACCTTAAACTAAAGAGACCAGGAACAGAACTCCAAATTTTGATCAGGCTCCTGCTCTCCTGGTTATTCTAGTGTGGTAGTGATTCCATACTGCAGCTTGAGAACTTCAAAGGGGAAGTCTTCATTTCTCTTTTTGGGGGCTGACCCTATCCTGATGATTATATCCTGGAGCAGGTAGACTGGAGGCATTTCCCCTGGATCCATTCCTCCTTAGTCCCCTGAACCAAAAAGGAGTTAACGATACTGCAGAAGGACCCAAAGGTGCACTTCCCTGTTTGTGAGCACGAAAAGGGACAGTTGACACTGGGTACTTACTGTGGCAGGCAGGGAATACTTTCTGTAACTGTCCTCATGAGTTGACATTACTATCCCTACTTTACAGGTGGGGTAATCCAGGCAAAGAAAAATCGTAAGGGGTAAGCAAAGATGTTTAAATCATGGATGTCTGTATGACTCCAGAGGTAGAAACCCTCCCTCAACTATTGCCAGTCCCTCCCTGACTTTTGGGGAAAGTGGGAGGCCACTGGCAGCAGTCTTCTGTCATGGATTCTGAGCTGCTGGGTTAGGAGCTCTGCCCTGATCCTAGTGCCTTTTCAGTTTGCCAACTCCAACTATAGTGTGGATGGGCCTTACCTAATGGTGGAGGCTTCTTGGCCTCCACAGTCAAGCGTATGATTGCTGTGGGGACCTGAACTTATTTTGTTGGTTTTTTTGTCTGTTTTTGGCTTTTTGTTTGTATTTTGTTTTCGAGACAGTCTCACTCTTGTTGCTCATGCTACATTGGAGTGGCGCAATCTCAGCTCACTGCAACCTCCCATCTCCTGGGTTCAAGCAGTTCTCCTGCTTCAGCCTCCCAAGTAGCTGGGATTATAGGTGCGCACCACCATACCCAGCTAATTTTTATATTTTTAGTAGAGATAGCATTTCACCATGTTGGCCAGGCTGGTCTTGAACTCCTGACCTCAGGTGATCCAGCCTCCCAAAGCGCTAGGATTACAGGCATGATCCACCACGTCCGGCCTGAACTTATTTTGCAGCAGTTTGTGAAGGCTTTGTGTTAGCATGTTCAGAGTCTCTGGGCAGAGGAAAATGCCCACTCCACTATAGTCCTACCCTGCTTTTGAGAGCCTGTTTGAAGGTTCTAGCAGGAGTGCAGCTACTAGCACACCTTTGACCAAAGACCAGCCCTTCTCTATCAGGAATGGTCAGCCTCTTGGACTGAGCGTGCAGTTCAGGAGGGACACACGTGGAGTGGTGACGGAGGAAGGGGACACCACTTAGCCAGATCAGCCAAATCAACCCTGGTAACAATGGGGTGACAGATGTCACAGCCAGATCGCCCTCACCTCCCTATCCTGCTTTTGAAGACCATGCATGCCTCCTCAGTTTGCTTCCTTCTCCATATCCAATTTTGTCCTCAAGTTAGGTTATTTTTAAAGAGTTAATATGTACACTGGTTAGATTTGTTCAACTTTTGGATAAGCCTTTGGGGATGTTGGAGTTAGATTAATAGCATCTGGTTTTTTGGGGTTTTATTTTGGTTTTTGTTTTTGACCTTCACCCAGTACAGCCAAGTGGGAAACCCTGTGGCCGTTTTCTTTTCCATATTTTCACACTTTTTAGTTTTTCTGTGCACGTCTTAAGTTTTGTAATGTTGCCAAGTACTTTGTGTCAGCCTGACTCCTTAGTATATGGATCTAAACCAAATTTATTGTTGAAAATTTCAGTTTATGAGCACCTTCAGTAGCTCTTAGTCATATGTATGAATAAGGAATGTGTAGTTTTATAGAAAGGATTTGTATTTTTGGTTCAGTTTATGACCTATGAGGAATATCCTTAGGGCTGCTGATTTAAATTTGGAGAATCCCCGAGTTAGAAAAGCAGGGATAAGAAAACTTGTCTACCTTCTCTATGTCCTTTGATGAGGCCAAGAAGGAAAAGAAGAGTGATGGTGGTTGGTGTAGTTTGTCTTTTCAGTCTTAGGGGAAAAAATATTCAATGGATGGTCTTGTGTAAGCCTGTGGAGGATTTTCTGATTGGCTTTCAAGACTTGATCCTGCATTTGTGAGTGGATCCAGGATGCCAAGGTAGGCAACAGGAGTGTGAGCATGATGTTAGTTTGTTAAAGGAGTGACCTTGCCACCCAGACACTTCAGCCCTCTATTCCACCTTCTTGCAGCCTCTCTGTGCAACTTTTGGTCATTACGTGGGGTGGATAAGGAATTGGGAATTGCAGGCGGGTGCCTTTCCTGGTTAGGACTTTGGAAGTGGAAGAGGGAAATGTTAAGGACTGTTGAATGAATTTCAGCTCATTTGGCACTTAATTGGAGCCCGCTGGACTCAGGAAGAATCTGTTCTTGGATTTATGAATAGGAAAGATAGAACTTCCTAAGGCAAGGGAAGGGTGGCCACAGAAAATGAGGGGCAAGTTACTCCCTTGTAGCAGAGAATGGGATTCCCTATCAACAGTAATATGCTGGTAAACTGGCTGGCAGGGGGAAGGAAGCCATGAGTTTTTGCAATTGCCCAATTTCTATAGTTTTAAACTTGCCAAGCCCACCTACTTACACAATTTCC